CATGTCTTTGAACTCTTTAAATGGAAGGACCAAGCCTTATTCACCTCTGAATCCTCAGCATCCTGGATAATTTCTGGTACCTAACTGAAGTCTCATGAATATATATTCCTCAATGAGTGAAGATATTTTATGATTACATAATGCCTCAGAGTCCATTTCTGATTCAGAAATCTGCCAACATATTTTAATTAGCCTTCATCTGGCCTTTGTCTCTGATTATCAACTACAAAATAACAATAATTAGGACCAGCAATGTAAAAGGATGAATGAAAATATGCATACATGTTGAGAAAACAGATCAGAATATTATTCTCCTTGACCTAGGAATATCAAAAGCTGAGTAATTTACCAAATATAAAACCAATTATAACATCAAAAAACTACCTTAACCAAAAAAAAAAAAAAAAAGAACAAAAAGACATACATGACAAGCAGGAGCCCAACAGCAGTCCCCCTTGTTTTCCACAGAGCTCCAAGGGTCAGCTCCATTCCGGGCTCTGCCCATTTCTTGTTTTCGCAAGGTCTGAAAAGTCAATTACTCTAAACACAATCTGCGTTCAGCCTTACGAACTGGCACTTTGCCAAGTAATTTAAAGCGCTTTCCCAAGGAAAACTTACAATTTCTCTGTTTTCCTTTAGTTGATGTTACAGAAGTAAATTGTGTATACAATTAATTCATCCCTGGATGTTTGCTATCAATTCAAAGAGCTGAGAATTGGGGGATTCCCATTGAAATGCAAAGAAAACAGATGGCTGCTTTCTCCCAGCTTCTGCTGACTGGCCTCCATTCTTTTGAATGCTGATTAGAAATTAAACTGGTACATAAGTGGTTTCACATGCTAACTTCCACAGAGGTAGCTCATATCTTAATCTGAAACAGTAATTGCTGTGTCAATATGTGCCTGCTTCTGAAATATACTGGAAATTCTCAAAGGCTAGGCATTATTTTAAACATTTTCTTTGGTTGGCTTTTTCAGTTTATATCCTTGTAAAAGTTGTCTTAATATAGTTATCTTGCACTTTGTCAGAGCTTGATAAATCTTGGTTGAATGAATTGATGCATACATTCTTATAATATCATTTTCAGGACAGAATATTTCCAAATTTTAGCAAGAGTAGATAAGACGGACCCATGAAGGGATTGGGTTCCTCATCATTACTGGAGTTTGGTCAGGGCTTGTTTATCTAATTCTAAGTTCTCATCCACCTCTGCGATTCTATGTTATTTATGTTAAAACAGTGAAAAAATCAAGTGATGGTGTCATGAGCGGAACTAGAATCCTTGAACTTGTAAAAGAATATATTGGCCCCATTTCAAGAAACATCTGCTTCAGAGACATTTTCCATTGAAGAACAAGTAAAAAATCTCTGAAAGAAATTTCTCAGTCTTCATGAAGAACTGACAGTTACCTAATGAATCTATAATGTGGACACTGACCATCAAGATCATTTAAGGGAAAAGTATAATACACAAAGTGAGCCTCTCATGTGTTCTTATTTGTTTACACTTGGATTCATTTATTCATGGAGTTGTTTTATGTACCTACTGAGAACTGAGTAAAGATAGCTTGAACCATGACCTGTTCCTGGAACAGATGTCTATCTGTTTGTCTGCCTGATGATGTTATTTCTATGTTTATTCAGTCACTCAATAATTGTGAGCTCCTGCTGTGCCAGGCACTATGCTAAATGTTAAGGATATAGCAGCTCACAAATCAGACACGATTCCACTCAATGAGCTTACAGCATAGAGTGTAAAACAGGCATTCAGTTTAAAATCACATAAATAAATGTACAATAATAAATTGCTTGAGTCTTATGGAAAAGAGAGAGAGAATACAACAGGGAACCACACTTGCTCTTTCAGAGAGCTTCTCCAAGGAAATGTAATTTAAGTTTAGATCTAAGATGACCAGAAGTTTACCAGGCAAAGAGCTTTCCAGTTTGAGGAAAGAGCATGTGTGAAGCACTTGAGACAGGAGGAGATTTGGTGCATTTTGTGAATGTAAATAACATGGTCAGCAAAGGGAAGATGTCTCTGAGGCAGGCAGGGTTGAAATCATGCATAGCTTGGATGCTCTGTTAATGAATTTGCATTTATACTAATGCAAATGGAGAGAAATAGATTTGATCTGTATTTTTACAGATCACTTTGGATGCACTGAGAATAAACCAGGAGGGCAATAATGGAAGTGGTGAGACCAATCAGGAGCTATTATAGATGGGAGATGATAGAGGCTTTGATTAAAGTGGAAATAGAAGTAGAGAAGAATAAATAGGTTTGAGGTACACTTTGGAGGTAGAATCAATAGGCCTAGAAGATTGATTAATGATGGATTAGAGGGAGAACAAGGTGTTAAGTATAATTCTCAAGGTTTTGGCTTGGACAATGGGGTAAATGTATGTGCCATTTACTGAGTTGGGAAGCATGAAAGGGGAGCAAGGTGGGGTGAAATCAAGAATTTTAGTATCAGTGTACTGGTGGTAACACAACTAAAATGTGTGTGTGACTTTATTTTCTAAAAGTGAAGAATACAATATGCAAAGAGGAAAGAAAAAGGGGGACAAATAAGGAGACAGTTTGAGTAAATACAAAATAAAATTCCCAAAGGGGTGATGGAAGGTAGGGGTAGGGACTGAATGCATCTCAGGATTGCTGAGGGTGTGCAATTTGAAAACGACATATTTGACATTATACTGTAATTTTTTAATTTTGGGGAAAAAAAACCATGTTCATAACACAGATTATAGAAAGTAAACTAAAAAGAATCCTATCTGGTGGGTATACACAAAAGGTAGACCGTATCACCTGCTTATTGGCTTCAGTGAGTTTTTATAGAGGGATGCATCAAAATCCCCAATGGAATGCAAGGAATGTATCATTTATGTTCATCATAAAAGAGCACAGGTTAAAGAAAAAATGTATTGACACCCAGCCAGAAGAAGGGAGATGAGAAGGCAGGATATAAACAGAGAAAGGAGAGTAAAGGAGAAATGGGTGGAGACTTTTTCCAGCAAGCAAAACATCTCTGCCATCATGCCTGTGCCGATGCAGGTGCTAATGGTCAGCTGGGTTTGAATCCCAGCCCTTTCACTTATTAGTGGATGCTCTTGAGCATGTCACGTAACTTCTCAAGCCTCAATTTTCTCATTTTTTAAAAATGATAATGATAGCATCTACCTCATAAGGTGATTGTCAGGGTTAAAAGAAATAACTCATAAGAAGTGCTTCACAGAATGCCTGGCACAGAGGAAGAGCTCAATAAATGTTAGCTGCCTTTCTGTAGTTGACTGTAGATGCATAATGACTAGAAAGTAGTTGTAGGTGTGTGTACCTTCTCACTTCCCCTTGCCTATGGTGACTTTGCTCTCTTAGGTTCAAAACTGTATAATTCACTGTATCAAAAAAAGTTTTTATGATTTGTTAAAAATATAGGAGGATATAATTAATATTTATAAGGCATTCTAAAATATTATTAGGATTTAATTATTGCAAATTAGTGGGAATGCCCCATCTGACTACATAGCCAAAAATATGTCTTCTCATTTATTTCTAGAAATGTTAGATATCATTAAAAATTTGCTATTTAACTCCTTAGGGAGTTCAGTAATTGACTTCCAAACTTATTCTTTGAAAATACCAAAAAATAGAGATAATGTTCTGAGATCCTCTTGATATATTCTTTTTTTTTTTTATTTTTATCCTCACCCAAGGACATTTTTTCATTTTTTTTGTTCAGGTAGAGTGGGAGGGAGAGAGAGGAACAGAGAGAGAGAGAGAAACATTGATGTGAAAGGAACACATTGAGTGGCTGCCACCCGCACGACCGACCGGGGCCGGGGACAAACTGCAACCGAGGTATGTGCCCCTAGCGGGAACCGAACCCGGGTCTCTCAGGACCTCAGGTCAACGCTCTAACCGCTGAGCCAAACCGACCAGGGCGATATATTCATTTTTTACTTTAAATCCATAAAATCTATATTTTCTTAGCCCTATCAATATTATGAAGACATATAAAAATATCCTATCTTAAAAAAAAACTATGTGAGCATCCCATTGTATCTAGGATCTCACAATTGAGGTCTCTCAATTTAAAATGAATTGGAACTACTTGTGGAACACTGGATTCTCTTTTCGTTTCTGCTCTTATCTCTCTCTGACTTTGGTTCCTATGTAAAAATATAGTTTTATTATTTACCATACATATGCTCTAGAATATTAATGCAAAATTACGTTCAAGCTTTAGATTTAGAACAATTTGTTTACAAAATTATGAAAAGACTCAAAGCATTCTAAGGTAAAATCTGGAGTCCACATTTATTAGCGATACCATACTGAGGGCAATGCCTTAACTTCTTTAAACTTTGTTTTATATATATATAAATAACTAATAATGGGAGTTACTAAATAAGAGAATATATGTAATTACCTCACTTGATATCATACTGTGACAGTTAAGAATAAATTCTTTGTGGTTAGATAGAACCAGCTAATTATATAGTTTTGGACAATTTGTTTAGTGGACCAAAGATTCAGTTAAATGATGGCACTAACTTAACTTTTAATGAAAATATTAAATGGTGATAATTGTATCTACTTCTTAGGCTATGTTATGCCTGGAACATAATAAGTGTTTACTAAATGTTATCCAAAAATATACTTAATAAATGTTCTATTTTATCCTCTGATTGAGGGAAATATTGCTACTTAAATTTCAAAACTAATTCTTCAGGAAAAATGTAATACCTTATTAAAAATGCATGGGAACCAAGAACATTGGAGCATCATGCGAGCATGTCTGAGTGCTCTGTGAACACACCAGGAAACAAACAAGGCAATGTCCTTAATTCCTCCCATTGCACCAAGGGGGCAGGACATCTCTCCACCTTGAGGAAGATGTCGAGTGCAAGAGAAGTGAGCAGAGGCGGATGCCACCCATTCTCTCACGGGGGAAGCACATGCAGTTCGAGAAGATGAAGTGAGGAAGCGCATGCAGTACCTGGTCATCTCAGAGTCAGGGAGCAGGCCTAGGTGGTAGTGGGGGTAGGGAGCTGAGAGAAGGAAGCTTTTGTCACACTCAACGGGGGAATAGTGCCTGGGAGAAGCAGGCTTATCACATAGTTTGTTCACAGTGCTGTAAACTGGTTCCGGAGGCCTGGTGATACAAGAGGAAGAGAAAATGTTGCATGGTTAGCACACATACCGACCAACTGTGTACCTAGTAGCATTTCACCATATGCAAAAGTAGAAATCCAAAACAATGCTATGGGCTTCCTAAGGCCTAAGTTAAGAGTCTTTTAGGAAACAGGATCTCTGGTTAGAAATGGGAACTTCAGCTCACATTTGGCATGACGAAAATTCATATGCCAGATACCTCAGTAATGTAATAATCAATCTATAAATTCCATGCCTTTCTGGATAGTCCAGTCTGAAACACCACACCTTGGGATTGTCTGACATGGCTTCTTTTAAAACTTCAGTCTTGTCCTAAATGTATACTTTACAAAGACGTTCATTCCTTGACCATTGTGGCCTAGACATCCTGTTATTTTTCGTACCACATATTTCACTTTATAATATTTTTTCTCAGTATGAAATAATCTTCCTTGTTGGTTTGTTTTGTTTAATTTATTATTGACACTGCCGCTACACCATAAATTTTATGAAGACAGAGACTTCATTTGTTTTGTTAGCCACTAAAATAGAGTCTGGGACACAGTCCACATTCTATAAATATTTATTGAATGCCTGCATAAATAAATGTATGCATACAACTTTTCACATATATTGCAATTTTTTAGGAGGGGATTTGGGGGTCGGGTGGATTATATTGACCTTACCTAGGAATCTAATAGCTTGTATGATCTAGGTGTTTCTTCTAAATACTTATTTGTAGACTATCCCCCAACAGTTAATTTCATAGCGTTTTCTACAAATAGGATACTGATTTCAGTAAAATTTCTATTAAATGAATTAATATAGGGATACTGAAACATTATCTAAAGTAGCAACATTTTTATAGTTATAACTTACAACCATACATAATATGAAAAGATAAATTGTACCTATAATTTTTGGTCAAAGATCCATGTACTAAAAAGTCCTTGATTATTAAAAAAAAATAATAATAATCCCACAGCTCTATTCCCCACTTTTAACATATCTGAAATTGCTACCAATATCTTCCACTTAAGGTAAGAACTGAAAGATATAAATGTAAATGGAAGAACTATCTAGCAGCCTGGGTCACAGACCCAGGAAGAGTAAGCTTGACTGAGAAGGTAGGAACAGATCAGGGAACAGGGCTGAGAACACCCTTTGGGGCCACAAGGCCCCAGAGGCAGCAAGTGGTGGTCTCATGCCTGAGCAGAGGTCCAGGGAGTGTAGGCGGCAAACTCTGTGAAGACACAGTCCATGCTTCTGTTGCTCTATCCTCCAACACGGCCCCTAATGTATAATAGGTGCTCAATCAATGCTTCCTAAGCTGATTGAAGAGGGAGAGCAGGGAGGAAAAAAGAACAAGCAAAGTATTAAGAGCAAACTTTACCTAATTTATAATATTGTCTTCAGCCAGTCTTGGCGCAGACACACTGTCTAGAGAACTGGATTCTTCCCTAACACAAAGCTTTCCACCTCACAGAAAGAGATGTCTTGATCTGTTTATTCTGTGCAACACTGTGGAGGGGCTGAGGATTGGGTAGGAGAAATTCAGAGGCCTATTTTGTCCTCCAGAATAATGATCTCAGTGATAGAATGAGGTACTTGACAATAGAGTCAGCTTGTTCTATCCCAGTGGCTAATATGGTAATACTGAAAAATAGAATTTAAGGTTTCTTAAATGAGATAACCAAAATTGTTCTTACTTTAGGGAAGTTGGAATATATTTAGTTAAGTACTCCATTTTCAGAAAAACCTAGCAAGTTTATAAATTTCTGTTTATCAGTTATACCTACATACAATTTGGTAAACACCAGACCTTAATAAAGGCAGCTGCAAACATTCTTAAAAAGCGTTTTCTTAAATCAGTATTTATAATTCACTTTGTGTGAAATGATATAAAAGGAAAGCTACTTTCTGTTAGCTAATGAAAAATGTCTTTCAAAATAGTCAGATTAGAGACTATTTGTGATTTGGGGAGAGCCTGTTTTTGCTTCATTGATATGTTCAACTTTATGAAGATATGCACACATTTCTCATGGTCTTGGAGACAGAAAGACCCGCAACGCTGATCAGATAAAGAAAGTCACCTTGGGAGATGACAGTCTTTTCTGCACCTAAAATGTGCCTGCCCACACAAAAATTCAGCTTGAAAGGGCTTTGTATTAACGAGCTGCATAAAGATCAATCAAACGAGAAATGAGGGAGCATGTACAAGTTCTCTGGGAATTACTCTGGGTAGGTTATCACAAGGTTGACTCCCAAACATCCATGTACTCCTTTTTCTTAGTAATAGAAACCCAATTTTCCACTTGTCACTTCTCCTGTAGTAAAGACTTTATTTCTTGGCCTCCCTTGTAGACAGATGTGGCCCATGAAGATGTTCAGCCCAATGTGATTTGAACAGAAAGGTTTCATGAGACTACTGAACTGACTGCTTCAAGGGAAGCTGATTTTGTTGGTACCCCTGCAATTTTGCTCTCTTCTACTGCCTCTCTCTCCTGACCTGGAATCGATGCATGATGGCTGGAGCTTCAGTGGTCATCTTGGACCATGGAGCAGCCTTGAGGATGAAAGCAAACATCACTAGTAGAGTATAACATCAGAGCCTGTGTCACTGAAGATATAGAGTGACGCTACACCACCTCTGGACTACATACCTCTGGATTTCTTTTGTATAGGATAAAAAGAAACTACCTTGTTTAAGCTAGTGTCATTGTTTTTGTATATAAACAGGACCTACTATTAACAGACACACTCTTACGAAATGTAAGACCATTAATCTAATACAAAGAAATAACTCTAGATAGGGTCTGCCACAAGGTGCTGATACATTTAATTACGCCACAGTTTCATCTAACACCTTCTGTATACACAGAAAAAATATAAAGAATGCTTTTTTTCTGACTATAAATTTAAAGTGTATGACTATTTAGAGAACTCACTGCATCTTTGTTCAAAAATATTACATATATAACGTGGTAGCAAGTCTAACCTGCTGGCACAGGGCCTAAGAATAAAGGAACTGATGACTTCTTTTAGGCCATAAAACATTTTCATGATGATGTCATTTCAGTAACATTGTACTTTCTGCCTAGGAGGGCTGATTCAATTTTCTTAGTCTGATGTTGACTCGACAGACCAAGAAAATGATGTTACCAATTTTCCCCTAGTCCTTTTTACCTCAGTAGCACTATATTTTGAGACAAATGATCAGAATCAAAGCTGGCTAATACATATCTTAGGGGAAAAAATCCCTACTTAAATTGTACTCAACTAAATCAAGGGAAAATGTTTTACTCTCTAAACACTATAATAAATTCAAGACAAAAAAAACGAAGCCTTGTATATTGCACACTGTTGAATTCTTGAGACTTTTATCTGCGTCTTTTGGAACCATCTTATGGGTGTAATATTATTTTATGACTCATGAGTTTAGCAGATTTGGTATTTGGAGGAAACTTAAATATATTAGATTTTAGAAAGAAGCCCTTATTTCTTTGCCTACTGTCACTTCCAGAATTGTTTCATAGTGGATTGATTCCTTGCCTAAATATCAATATTCATGATTCATACACAGCCTTGTCAATGCAGAGCTACAGCTACTGATATTGCAGGCTCATTTTTACCTATCATTCAGTCTTTCATTCCTTCTCTATTTATTTCCATGTCATTTCATAAGTCACTGGCTAAAGAACAGATGTATCAAATACAGTTTCTTTTCTTGAGAGAACAGTTGTTATATCAGAAGATGGGTGGAAAAAAACATTAAAAATAAAACCACTCGACAAACTTGACTAAGCCTTGTTGCAATAATGACAACATCCTCTTGCAATCAAACAACTAAATTAAAAATGTCAGCAACAATAATCAAAACAGCATGGAAATGGCAGAAAAACCAACAAGCAGACCATTAGAGCAGAATTGAGAGCCCCCAAATAAACCCACATATATTGGGGCAGATAGTTTGTGACAAAGGAGCCAAAACATACAAAGGAAAAATGAAAGCCTCTTCAATAAATGGTGTGGGGATAATTGGAAACTACATGCAAAAGGACGAAACAGGACTGTTGGTCACCATACACAAAAATTAACTAAAAGTGGATCAAAGCCCTAAATGTAAGACCTGAAACAATAAAATCATAAAAGAAAACAAAGGTACTAAACTTCTGGACATTGGTCATTGAGAGGATTTTATGCATTGGATCTCACAGGCAAAAATAAATGAATGGGACTATATCAAACTAAAAATCTTCTGCACAGCAAGAGAAACCATCAACAAAAATAGTCAACCATCAGAATGGGAGAAGGTTTTTGCAAACAACACCTCTAATAAGGGGTTAATATCCAAAATAAATAAAGAACTCATACAATTCAACAATAAACAAATAATCCAATTAAGACATGGGCAAAGGACTTGAATAGGCACTTCTCCCAAAAATGACATACAAATGGCCAACAGATATTTTATAAAAAAAATTTTTTTCTTTATTGATTTTAGAGAGAGAGGAAGGGAGAGGGCGAGAGAACATGGACTGGATGCCCCACACTGGGGATCAGGCCTATAACCTGGGAATCGAACTGGCAACCTCTTAGTGCATGGGTCAGTGCTCAACCACTGAGGCGCACTGGCCAGGCACCAACAGATATTTTAAAAGATACCACTTCACATCTGTTAGAATGGCTATTATCAACAAGACAAGTAATAGCAAGTGCTGGAGAGGTTGTGGAGGCAACCCTCATTCATTGCTGTGGAAATGTAAACTGGTACAGCCACTATGGAAAACAGTATGCAGTTCTTCAAAAAATTAAGAATACAGTTACCATATGAGCCTTCAATTTCTCTTCTGGGTATCTACCTGAAAAATTTCAAAACATATATTCATTAAGATATATGTACCCCTGTGTACACTACAGCATTATTTATCGAGGCCAAGACAGAGAAACAACCAAGTGTCCTTCAATATATGATTGGATAAAGAAGATGTGGTACATATG